TTGCTACCTGTCATGGTGGACCTGCAGAGATTATCGAGAATGGAGTTTCGGGGTTCCACATTGACCCATATCATCCAGACCAGGTTGCAGCTACCCTGGTCAGCTTCTTTGAGACCTGCAACACCAATCCAAATCATTGGGTAAAAATCTCTGAAGGAGGGCTCAAGCGAATCTATGAAAGGTTGGCCCATTTTCCTTGATAGACACAACAATAGAACCCTAATTGCTTCACCCAGCTGATTGTATAAGGGCTTGTGCATGTATAGGTACACATGGAAGAAGTACTCAGAGAGACTGCTTACGCTGGCTGGAGTCTATGCATTCTGGAAACATGTGTCTAAGCTCGAAAGGAGAGAAACACGACGTTACCTAGAGATGTTCTACTCTCTGAAGTTTCGTGATTTGGTTAGTGTAACCCACTCTTCTTCTTTTGATGTCTACACCTACTTTACTTACATAATTCTTTTCTTTCGGTTTACAGGCCAATTCAATCCCGCTGGCAACAGATGAGAACTGAGCATGACAGGGTTGGATTCTATTTGCTGCACTTTCTTTAGAGCTTTTGTTTGTATTATCTTGAATAAAAGTTGTTGGGTTTTGTTTCCTTGAGTGGTTTGATTTTAGACTAGTTTGTGTTAATGCTGTTTTGGTTGTTTTCTTAATATCAATAACAAATAAATTACTGGTTGGTATCTAAAGATCTAACAATAGTTACTATTTATAGAGGTAAAGACACAAACCTTGTTATAACGGTCCAAGAGCTAAATCCTTAACTTGTTGGGAAAACAAACCCCTAATGACAGAAAATCTGACATTGATGTCTTAATTCACAGCCTCATAACTCCTAACAATAGCACTTTGCTTCTTGCATTATATTATTAACTCCACTCTTCTCTCTCTTTCCTTCCTTCTAACCAAAACAGAGTCACAAGGGGCTCGAAGCCCCTCCAACTAAATTCTTCTTTTAAATTGTGAATCCACCAAACAAAAAAATGGGGGTTGATAGTGAATTGAAAAAGAAGAAATGCATCATTGCTGGGGTTATCACGGCCTTGCTCGTTATCATGGTTGTCGCTGTCGCCATCATAACATCAAGAAACACAAGTCATAATTCAGACAAAATCGCCCCAGTGCAGATTAAAACAACCACAAATGCAGTCGAAGCAGTTTGTGCACCTACTGATTACAAAGAGACTTGTGTCAACAGTCTAATGAAAGCTTCTCCTGACTCCACTCAGCCTCTTGACCTCATAAAGCTTGGCTTCAACGTCACTATTCGCTCCATTAAAGATGGCATCAAGAAAGCTTCCGCTGAGCTAAAAGCCAAGGCAGCCAACGATAACGAGACCAAAGGGGCTTTGGAGTTGTGTGAGAAGCTTATGAATGATGCTACAGATGATCTGAAGAAATGTCTTGATAACTTTGATGGGTTCTCAATTACTCAGATTGAGGACTTTGTCGAAGATCTTCGTGTATGGCTTAGTGGCTCCATTGCGTATCAACAAACATGCATGGATACTTTTGAGGAAATTAAGTCGAACCTTTCACAAGACATGCATAAAATCTTTAAAACATCTAGAGAACTCACAAGTAATGGCCTTGCCATGATTACTAACATCTCTAACCTTCTCGGAGAGTTCAACATCACCGGTAATACATTTTATATACATGTCTAAGTCTTACTCAAGAATTATGAATGAACAATGTTGCCATTTTGGGTGATAGGATTAACCGGGGATCTCGGAAACTACGCAAGAAAACTTTTATCAACGGAAGACGGTATCCCAAGTTGGGTAGGACCAAACACTCGACAGCTCATGGCAACGAAAGGAGGTGTGAAAGCTAATGTGGTAGTGGCGCAAGACGGAAGCGGTCAGTACAAGACTATCAATGAGGCCTTGAATATTGTTCCTAAAGCCAACCAAAAGCCATTTGTTATCTATATTAAGCAAGGTGTCTATAACGAGAAAGTTGACGTCACCAAGAAAATGACTCACGTCACTTTTATTGGTGATGGACCAACCAAAACGAAGATCACTGGTAGTCTCAACTTTTACATCGGCAAGGTCAAGACATACCATACTGCCACTGTTGGTGAGTCCAATTCTGTTTCTAGTCCCTAAATTGCCACATTTCAACCATAAACATAGTCAAAAAAATTAATAGAGAATGATACATTAGATGACTTTTTAGATCCAAGTTAGTAAAAAGGATTATGAGAAACATTTATTTTTCAAAATACCCCTAAGTTGATGAAAATGTGAGCGGTTTGTTTATATATATATCGTGGTTTTATTCAGTGACCCTATTTTCATTTTAACATGCTATTTTTTCAATATGTCTCCCTTAATTACTATTTTGCGACTTGTTTTTGTGCGATATCTACCTAGTTAACCCAATTTAATATGCATACTTTTGTTACAGCGATCAATGGTGATCACTTCACGGCGAAGAACATCGGGTTTGAAAACACTGCCGGTCCCGAAGGACATCAAGCTGTGGCCCTAAGAGTATCGGGGGACTACGCCGTTTTCTACAACTGCCAAATCGATGGTTACCAAGACACACTCTACGTCCATTCTCATCGTCAGTTCTTCCGTGATTGCACAATCTCGGGCACCGTTGACTTCATCTTCGGCGATGCAAAAGTTGTCTTACAAAACTGCAACATTGTAGTGAGAAAACCCATGAAAGGTCAGTCTTGCATGATCACAGCCCAAGGCCGGACCGATGTACGTGAATCCAGCGGACTCGTGCTACAAAACTGCCACATTACCGGAGAACCGGCGTACCTTCCCGTAAAATCTATAAACAAAGCATATCTTGGAAGGCCATGGAAAGAGTTCTCAAGAACCATAATAATGGGAACGACCATAGACAACATTATTGATCCAGCGGGATGGCTTCCTTGGAATGGTGATTTTGCACTCAACACACTTTATTATGCTGAGTATGAGAATAATGGGCCTGGGTCAGACCAAGCCCAACGTGTTAAGTGGCCTGGAATTAAGAAGATTTCACCTAAGCAAGCTCGTCGATTTACTCCAGCTAGGTTTTTACGTGGTAACTTGTGGATTCCACCAAATCGTGTGCCTTACATGGGGAATTTGCAGTAGATTCCAATTGGTGAATTTTCTTTTTCCACTTTCTATGTTCTCTCTAAAAAAAAAAAAATTGAAGGTGAATAAGTACTTGATAAGCAATGGTACTTAACGTTGTCTTGTCTTAAAACCTATCAAGTACTTAACGTTGGAGACCATACCATACCATTGCCGTGAACGCAAAATATTACGCATTCTCTTTTATTCAGAACATGACGATCCTTTGTTAGATATGAACTAAAAAACTTGTTCGGTCATAGTTAGAAACAAGAGTTTAGTGAGAACTGAGAAGCATACAATTAGGAAAACCTTATGGAAATATATAGCAACATAAGATAGAGAGAAGTGAATGAGTAAGTAGGCAAGTAGCCCGCTAACCAGTCTAGCCTCGGCCTCCACGACCACGGTACCCACGACTTCCGCCAACATGAGAAGGGGATTGCATCTCCTGAACTTTCTTTGAAGGTTTAACCGGTTGCCCCGGAGAATTCTCTGTGTAGAGACAGTTAGATCCACCTTATGACAAAAATTCTCATCCGAATCACTGAAGTAACGTAATATGTAAGGGTACATACAGTGCAGTGCCCAGACTTATCGGAGGTTAAGGCGATGTTGAAATTAGGGGCTTTTCTAATAAAAAATTTCAAAATAAAATCATTTCGAAACGATAGAAATTGTTGAAAACAAAAAAATAATCTAACTAAGACATAATTTTTCATTCTTCTTTTTTTAATAAACTCTTTCACCAAATTCTCATAATCTAAGTTCCTAACTAGATCTTTCTCTATGGATATGATAGCTAGCACCTGATTGTGATTTCACAAACCCCTCATCTTGTCTTTCTTATGTCTTTTTCGTTCTCCAACAATCTCAAAGACATGTTTTTAAAGATTAAAAAAAAAACAATTTATCAAATCAGTACAATCATAATTCATTAACAAGATCTACTATAAAGATGAATTAGTATATGTTAAGTTAATAATTATTTAGAATCGCTGAAGCAGGTTCCTTTTTTTTTTTTATAAACCCTATCGGCTATCCGGTCAGCCCCGGTAGGAACGCACCGATAGTGGACTTGTCCACCGTGTTAACGGTTAGGCCTTTCGGACTACCACTCTGCCTATCCCGAGTTTGGAATGCCTTCCGACTAAGTGTCAGGGGTAGTCAAGCCGCCTGCATTTCTGACTATCAGGTAAACCAATTGGGCCAAAGCCCAACTAACAGACTTCCTACAATAATGTTGATAACAGCAGGTGGAGTCGAAGCCTGGAGGAAATTTCACCCAAACAACCAGGCCCACCAAGCCACCCGCCCACCACCATGTGGGCTCGTTGAAGCAGGTTCCAACTGTTTTAAAAAGAATAAAGTGAATAAACAAAAGCATTAAGAGGAATAAAAAATTCTATATGAAAGAAACATGGGAGAGGAATCGAATCAAGGTTATTCACGAAAAACAGGGTCCTTCTGAAACCATTTAGATACAACATTTTTTAAGATTCGGGGGCCCTAAAAATGCCTTTATATTTTGGGGGCCTGGAACAAATGTCTTTTTCCTTACCTATGGTACATCCTGAAGTAACAGTCTATTTCAATATATTTATTTTTTGTTATAATTGAGTAGCTTTTTTTTGGTGAGCAGTTATAATTGAGTAGCTAAGTTATACATTTCAATCTTGATATTTTAATTTTTGATATAAAAAACTTTAAAAAAAATGAATGCCAACAAAAAAAAAACTTGACTTAAGAGAATGTTTTAAAAAAGAAATTATAAAGAAAATGAATTATTAAACACGAATGAAGAGAATAAGGTAAATCTCACGTGAGGATATTTAACAACTTAGAGATATATACTTTGTGAACAATTGGTTTGAAACCCTAATTGGGATACCTTTAAAGTAAAATCGTCAATCCACAAGTTTCGATCTAAAAACAAAAGACCCTAATGGTGGATGAGGAGAAGCTTCCATGGGAGTTGGTTGATGAGATACTCTCTCGTGTCCCACCAACATCTCTTTTTCGCTTCAGAACCGTTTGTAAACGATGGAACGTTCTCTTCTACGACAAGACGTTCATGAACAACCACAAGATGACGTTTCGATTCATCTTAGCAACTGAATCAAAGATTTATTCGGTAAGCATCGATCCAAAGATAGAGGTGTGTGAGTTAACATTATATTTTCCTGGTTTAGAATATCAGAAACCTCAATACTTGGTTGATTGCGATAAGTTCTTGCTATATGGCTTGGATAAAGGAGCCGTGGTTTGGAATCCGTGGTTGAGACAGAGTAGATGGATAGAGTCGTCGGAGATAAAACAAACTCCTATGCAATTCAGTGGCATAGGAGACGTCGATAGGAATTACAAGATCCTTGCTTCTTGTTCTCCGACGGGACTTCCCAACAAGTCTTGGTGCAAAATATACGACTTTGCATCCGATGCGTGGAAAGACTACGGATCCGGTGATGGCATTGAGGAACGAAGTTCTTATGTAACCTTTGGTGATAGTGTTTCCTTGAATGGTACTTTGTATTGGGTTGCTATAGAGAAGACTCATAAAAGCTTCCACCTTGCATGCTTCGACTTTTCGAGGGGGAAATTTATTAAAGGTAGGAATCTACCATGTGAGAAGACGAACTCCCTTAAGGATGCTCTTGTCCTCGGGGTTTTTAAGGGAGATCGGCTTTCATTGTTAAAGCAATGCCATAAAACAAAGAAGATTGAGATTTGGGTGACCAAATACAAGGTTAATACAAATCTTGCTCGTGAAGATGTTGAATGGATAAACTTTATGGAAGTGTCAAGTCCTAACTTTCCGAGTCTAGTATACTACTCTCAGCCAAGTTACTTCATTGAAGATAAAAGGCTTGTCGTTTGCTCTTGGGACAAAATTGGTCGGGCTTGGATATATGTTTTAGGGGAAAATAAGTTGATCAGTAAAAGTCATATAGATTATGTAGTTGATCCTTGGCCTTTTCACTGTACCTTTATTCCTAGTTTGGTACCGGTTCCTCGAAGTCAACGTGAAGAACTAGCAGAATTACAAGTTTGATTTTATTGAATTTTAGATTCTTGTTTCTTGTAATTTTTTTCGTTTGTCTTTTTTTTTTGACGTCTAGATTTATTATTTATTGCAAATTATAAGAACTGTTACATAGACGATTTTACAACGGACAATTTCTTCCGACCCTTATTAGATCTAGGACAGACGACACTTCCTTCTCCATGCTCTTGACGGACACCTTCAATGATCCACGACCTAACGACACTTCTTTCTCTGCGTAGAATCTTGGCGAACGGCTATAATTGTACTTCGCTGGAGATCTCCTGCACACTTGTCTCATTTAATCTGCAAATTTATTAATAAATCGCAATATCTAGGACTCGAACCCCAGACCTCTTGGTGTAGAAGCATTAATTAACCCTTGGTCAACCAATGGGCCAAGGGGGCTTCCACATTTGTCTTTTAAAATTTTTAATAAGTTTTTTTATTTATCAATGTTAATGTATTAGAGATAATGATGAAAATATTTCTTATTTTTATAAATCTGGATACGTAATTTTTTAAGAAATATTTGATTTTGTCAATTCTTTTTTTTGACATCTTATTAATGATACATTTTTAGATTAGTTTAAAATTTAGTAAATTTTAAAAAGGAAAATATGATTAGAAATCAGTCTGAACAAAAAAATGATAATCTATAATTTTAGTCGAGGCTATAAGTTTCTCAGGCCGTCCACGTGGGATTTTAAACGACCAATCGCAGTTGGACATCTCATTAATTAGCATTTTTAGATATCATATTAGCTAACATTTTTGTTAGTCCAATCCAATTCATCGGAACAATTGTTACCGTGAGTTTGCTTCTCATACTAATCTTGATAGCTGTATGTGACTGTTTCACAGCAGACTAACACGGATTGCACCCTCCAGTTCTGATGCTTAACTTTTATCATGTACCAATTATTATTTATTTAGGTTTTTACGTAGCCTATATAATAGCATAACAATATAGTTTTTTCGCTATTTAAACAATTAAGTTTTATTTATTTTTATGAAGATTTCATGATTTATTGTAACCCTATTCTTATTATTCGTATTTATAAGCCTTACAAATTAATTGCTTTGAAATTCTCTTACACAACAAAAAACCAAGATTGGGTGAAGATCGTACTTTGATAATTGCTAAATCATAAACAAAACTAAAACCCAAACCGAAATTAGAACCGACCAAACCAAATCGAACCGAATTTGAGATGATAACAGAACATGCGTCGGTGGATTCATAACAGCACCTGGATCTCTATCCATCATAGTTTGATCCGCCATTGTAAGGTTATGTAGCTTGTTCAGAGAGATTTTCGCCAGAAAAACAGAGTTAGTTACACGATTGGTCGGACTGGAGACTAGAACAAGATATATAGCTGTGTTGAAACTAATGAGAAATAAAGAAAGAATGGAGAAGAAGAGTCAATTGATTCTCTTCCCTCTACCATTACAAGGTTGCATAAACCCTATGCTTCAGCTAGCAAAGATCCTTTATTCAAGAAGTTTCTCGATCACTATCATCCACACGCGCTTTAACGCGGAGAAATCTTCAGACCATCCTCTCTTCACTTTCTTACAAATCCCCGACGGCTTGTCCGAATCTCAGACTCAATCTCGTGATGTTTTGCTTCAACTCACGCTTCTCAACAACAATTGCGAGAACCCATTTCGAGAGTGTTTGGCTAAACTCATCAAACCTAGCTTTTAGCTTTTAAAACTAGCTTTTAGATCAAATCTGAAGATCTTCTCCTGGTAATCTAGGAAACATGAATTGTTGATTTTGGCCTGTGTAATGGCCCTGTTGTTCATGCATTGTTTTATGGATCTTTACAGATAAACTTGGAGAATATAAGGAAACTTAACGAATATTAGAATATATGAATACTTCCCGTAGGTAAGTCAAAATAGGGTTTTTACTGTCTACTTTCCTAATTCAAACGTCAAAAGAAATGGTCGTTTTCCAATTTTTACCAATTCTTCTTGTATTAAATCAAAAAGGAATATAGCAGCAGAGTGTGTACCAAATAAATCCGTGTTCTCTCTCTCTTTTACAACCGAGACTCTATTTTTTTTTTACTGGAGTTGAATTAATCTAGAATATGTGCATTGAAGAATCTTTGCTTGTTTTCTCAATTCTCGATTGATTGGTTTTACTTTTGCGTGTGAGATGTATGACGCACTGATATATATATATACAAATATATTACACCTTATGACAAACTTATACCACAACGTATAACAAAAAAGAATATTGCAACTGAATAAAGAAATAAAAAGTCGGAGATTTAAAGTATGACGGAATTAATAAAATATCATTGAATATTGCTTATATAGAGTTACAATATCATTGAATATAAAAAGCCACAAAAAAAAAAACTTAATTGCTAAATAGCGAAATAAATATATTGATATATGCTAATTATATAGCTTACTAAAATAAAATCCTCATCATAAAATAATTCATTAAAAAAAAAATCGATACATAATTATGTGTATGATGTTCTACTGGGCACATCCTGTCACCGGTCGGCAGTCCACCATGAAGACAAATAGAGTCACCGGTCGGCAGTCCACCGAGTCCACAAGTATCTGCATAAAATGAATAAGAAGTATAGGATGATGGTAACGCCCATACTTATAAAAAGATAGGTAAAAAAATCCCTCTTAATATCATGAGCCGAATAATGCTCACAATGCTCCTCCGTATTGTTTCTCCACCAGATGTACATCAAAACTTTTTCTCACGTCCTCTTTTCTTAGTACAAGATTTCTAACCAAAAAAAAAAGAGTTATTCTGTATAGTAATCTCATAATTAAGAAGAGTGTATATATACAATTTCTAATTGCCTTATCTCTAAAACTTGGAAATCAAACTTAACATAACCAAAAATGTTAATTTAACAATAAAATCAAAAACGAAAAAAGACAAGTTAACATAATACTAAGATGCAAATAAATCCTTTAATAGTTGTGCATGATACATCAATAAGCTATTAAGCTAAGCACGATTGGTTTAAGTGCTGGTTTAACCGAAACGAGCAATATACACAACCAGAAGAAAGCGATTAATGGTTAAGTGCAAAGAGTGTAATGAAACTCACTGTATCTATAACCTAGTGGAAGCTTAAAAGAAGATACACTTGCAGTTTCAGCACTTGAAGGAACCTAAAGCGTCAAGTCAACATCTTCTTTCCAAAATTCAGAAATAGATAGAGAAGAGAGATCACATAATTAAGATCAACTTTCCAATATTACAATTTACAGGTTCTTTAACCTAGTAGAAGCTCAACAATACCTGAATGTGATAGAACGTGAGCACTTGTAAGAAAGAAGAAGATCGAATGATCTGAGTTTAGGGTTTAGGAATATGAAATTTCGCTTATATATAGCTCAAGTTCTGTTTCATTTGAAGTCTAAAAAGATACACATTTTTTTATAAGATTTGTAAAGGGAAGATTAAAATGAATGACGTGGAATAATTATGTTTATGATTAGAAATTTTGTAAATGGCATATAATGTAATTTTTTACACTTCTCAATGTTACAACTTATTAATGTACTTCCCAAATAATAGTATAAAATATCTATATTATATAGCATACTAATATATATAAAAACTCATCATTGAAGTAGAAAAACAAGAATTGGAAAAAGTTGTTAGTATGAGTAATTGCTAGAAAGAATTTTTAAACATTCTTCTTTTTTGCTAAATTGTAAATATTTCATTGATAATGAAAACAGTTTAGGTTACAAACATAGAATTTGAAACATATACATATGAATCTATGGCAAAAAAGAAAAAAAACATGGAAGCATAAAGACGGTTAATTAAAACAATGTTTTCGGTTGATTTTTAAACACTCTTTGCAGCATATATTGAAGATTATTATTTGAATCGTTGATTACATAGAAAATGCCAAAGAAGATTAGTCACCCCATGAAATGATGGGACAATTTTAAATACAGAATATACAAGAAAATAAGAAAGTTAATCGTAAACGTAAGTAATCCACATGTGACGTATCTTAGTCTCAATTCAAAGGCGAATGAAATAAAATTTGATTTGACAATGATAGTCGCCTCTTCAAAGTTCAAGGTTAATATCCGTGGTCCTTGATTAAAAACTTCTTGTTTCGTTTTATTCATTCATTTTTATGCTAGGTCGCCGACAAACACCGTCGCTTGTGTGAGGAAAGGCAGCAGCTAGGTCTCAAAAGGCAAACACTCGAGGCTCGCATCGCTCGGGTGGAGAGGAAGATAAGGGCTCTGGAAAGTGATCCCTTTCAATGGGAATGACGGAACTTTGATTCTGTTGCTGAGATCCCGAAGATGCTTCGGATGTATCTCCGTGCTAAAGGAGTTCCGGGTCCTGTGAATGCTCCGGTCCATACCGTTTCCACGATACCCGCAAGGAAACGGTCAAGCTGAAGCCGCGAACAAGACGATACTGAGCAATCTCAAGAAACGTTTGAATCATCTAAAGGGAGGATGGTATGAAGAACTCCAACCCGTCCTATGGGCCTATCGTACAACCCCTAGGCGACCTACCGGAGAAACTCCATTCTCTTTGGTGTATGGCATGGAGGCAGTAATACCAGCTGAACTCAACGTGCCCGGACTTCGCCGAACAGAAGCACCATTAAATGAGGAAGAAAATTCAGCAATGCTTAATGATTCACTAGATACCATAAATCAAAAGGCGTGATCAAGCTTTGATTCGGATTCAGAATTACCAGCAGGCAGCAGCCCGATATTACAATTCTAAAGTTAAAAGTAGGCCGTTCTTCGTGGGAGATTATGTGTTAAGGCGCGTCTTTGACAACAAAAAAGAAGAAGGTGCCGGTAAACTCGGTATTAATTGGGAAGGACCTTACATTATTACCGAAGTGGTTCGGAACGGTGTTTATAGGTTGAAAGACTTAGAAGACAGTCCAGTCAAGCGACCTTGGAATGTGATCAACCTAAAGAAGTTTTATGTTTAAAGCTACATACATTTTTTATGTACATGAACTACGGTGTGGCTTGAT